CACACACACACACACACACACACACACGGGGACATTCCCTCACCCCTCGCACGCCCGTGTGCACACGCTCAGCCCCGCGGGCGCCGGGCAGCGTTTGCCCCAGCCTGGCACAGCTCCCTGCCCTCTTGGCGCGGGCTGGGGCTGCTGGAAGGGGCGATTCCCCTGCTGTCGGGCTCCCACGCGCCCGGGGGACCTGGCACCGCGACGGGCCGGGCCACCAGCCAAGGAGCGAGGGGCTGGCGGGGGCCGGGGGCACAGCTGGACCCTGGGCACCAGCGGGCAGTTGGCCGCTGTCTTCATCTCCCTGCCCCCCAGAGCATCCTCGGGTGGGAAAGGGGGGGGTCACGCTGCCCTCGGAGGGGATGCACACACGTGTGGGTGTCTGAGGGGTGTGTGTGTGTGCAAAGGCGGCACGTGGGTTTGTGCACACACGCGTGTGCGGTCGCGTGCAGGGCGGCTGTGAGTCTGCACGTGCTGGTTTCTACACGCACCCGGCCCTGCGTGCGCACACGTGTGCGAGCGGTGGCGTGTTTCAGAACACACGTGCACACGCGCTGGGAAGGGTCTCCCCATCTCCACGGGCTGCAGTGACCCCCAGGCCCACCCCCAGGTAGATGCACCCCAAAGGGGACGCTCCCCTCTCGTTTGGGGGTCACACGGGTTCTCGTCTCCTCGCCAGCCCCCCGCCCGCCTCCCTGACCCCGCTCAGAGCCGCAGCATCTCCCCCAGCCCTTTGCAGCGTGGCTGCAGCTGCGGGTCCCCCCAGAGAGCCCCCCGCCCTCGCCCCGTGCGCCGAGCACAGCTTGCGGGGGGACAAGGCGCTCGACAGATCCCACCGGGCTCCCGGCAGCAGCCGGCGCGCGGGGCCGGGGGACGGAGAAGCACTGAGCTGTGCGAGGACACGTGGAGCAGGGGGGTCCCCACGCGAGGGGCCGACGGCGGCCAGAAGCTGTTTCGGGGTTTTTTAGCGCTGCTGGGAAATGAGGACTCGTGGGGGCCGGGTCACACACAGCCCCGCTTGAGGGCGATGGCTGAGGCGGGGTGAAGTGGGGGTCCCCACCCCGCCCCAGCCCACACGCGTGTGATATTTGTGTGCACACGCCCGGGCACATCCATGTGGGGGCACACGCGTCTGGGGCAGCACTCCAGTCCAGTCGGACTCCAGATCCTCTGGTCCGTCCCCCCCAGGGTCGCCCCTCACCGCCACCACCACGCTGAGGACCACAGAAAAGGAGACAACAGCCCTTGGGGGCGACGCTGCTTGAAACAAGATCACAACTTTATTTCAGCTAAAACCCCGATTCTGCTTTCTTTACAAAAGGATAAACATTTGCTCTCAGTACAAAAGGGAAGAAGCCTCGGGAACCAGGGGCTGGGCAGGGACCTCCGGAGCTCAAGTCATCTCCAAATTCCCAACTCTATACAAAACACAAAACAGGGAGGTTTGGCCAGCCGGGCTCGCGAGGCCAGTGGGACATCAAAAATAGTTGCTTGGATTTTCTTGAAAACAAAAATAGTTGCATAGCCTTTAACAGTTATTGCTCATATAGAAATACAAGGGATGAGTTGGGAGCTGCCGGGCACGATCAGCCTCCAAAATCTGAGAAATGACCATGTTAAATACGGAGTTCAACATGAAATATGCAACCCCTTGGTTAAATACTTGCTTTCATCACCGGAAAACAGACTGTGAGGGCAGGAAGAAAATAAATTAAATAAATAATGGCTAATAAATAATCCTGGAGCAACGGCACTGCAAAAACCACACGTCTCCACGAAAGCTAACTCCAACTAAGCACTTGGAAGTCAACTGGAAAATGAGGAGGTTATTTAGCACATTCCGTATTTCATGTAAAATGGAAGGAAATAAATTAGACACACACCACCCCCCCCTACCCACACACACACACACGCACACACAAAGTAAATAATAAATAAAACAGGAAATTAAGACACACTTCTTTTGGCAGGACGTGCTCGGGACACGGATCGTGATAAATGACGCTACGAACCGTAAGACGTGGCCCTAGTCAGGAGCGAGGGTTCAGCTGAGAGCTCCTCTTCCAGCCGGGATGTTTTGTGCTCTGAAGGACCAACAGTCCCTTAACGAGGTTTCAAGGTCCGTGTGCTTCTAATCTCATGCTGGTTGCGGGTTGTGGGTGAGGTCTGAGGCTCAGAAGAGGACGGGCAGGAGGGCTCAGCACGGAGAGCGGTGGAGGGACCGTCACGGAGAAGCTCCGAGCCCGGCCGGACCGTGCCCACCCTGAGGATAAGATTCTCCCGTTGGGTGGGAAGCTTCAGGGAGGAGAAACCGCGTTGGTCTTCTGCAAGTGGTCCAGATCATTCCCACCGCCTGGGCACGGCTGGACTGGGAAAAGCGTCATCCCGTCAGAGCCAGCGGGAGGGGAACTGGTCATCCCGAGGGGCAGGAGGGGTTTGTCTCCACTTGATGAGAGACAGGGGTGTGCCCACACCCCACGGCCCCAAGGAGGGAGGAAAAGGAACCGTCGCGCCTTGGCAAGGGACGATCCCACGTGCTGGAGGGTGTTCAGGAAGAAAGTCCTGGAGGGTGTTCAGGAAGAAAGTCCTGCAGGGTGAAGCCACCTCCCGGAGCATCTCTGGGACACGGGGAGCGGGAGGCAACGGCTCAGCTTTCGGCGGTGGCTGCTTAGAGTTCAGCCGTCGGGAAGGGTCCGTGTGGCTCCTGGGGACAGCTCGGGAATCGGCAAGGTGGCACCAGTGCAGACCCGCTGGGAGGGGACCGGAGGGCCCTCCCACAGCGATGTCCTGCAGAGATGCTCAGAAGTCCCTCACCCCGTAGCGACGATATCGCTCCAGTTGTGTCCGTTCTAGAAACAGCTCCGCGGCGCAGCTGAACTTCTTCTCCGCGTCAAGAGTTTGGGTCTAACTCTGCTTTGCTACTCGTTGAAGATGGCGTTGAGCTGAGGCCCGGCCACGTGGTGTGGGTAGGACTCATAGCTCATGTCTATGGGGATCTCGTAGCGGGGCACCGTGTTTTGGAAGTGAGAGGCATGTCCGTGTGCTCCAGCCAGGCTGACTGAGGGATAGTGGGCCATGAAGGGGTAGGATTTATCCAGGTCTGGAGACCCATCCTGCTTCAAGGAGAAGTTCCCGCTGATGCTCAGGGGTGGCGTCAGGGGACCCTCGTAGGGGGGAGTGGTGCAGTCAGAGGGGTGGTTTCCAAAGGAAGCATCCACCAAGCTCTTGAAGGTCGGAGGCTTTAAATGCAGCAGATGTGTTTCCATGGTCCCGTAGGGCGGGCTGGGGAGCCCCGGGGACTGGTAGCTGAAGGAGTGGCTGGATATGGCCGATTCACACACCGGGGACTTTTCTTCGTGCTTCTCCAGGAACAAGGTCTGAGGTCCCAGCTGCAGACACCCGGCCACCAGGTTGCTGGTGGGCTGGGACAAGCCCTTGCAGAGCATCTCCACGAAGCTCTTCCCTTCGGGAGTCTGCCCCGTCTCGAGCACCTCAGACAGAGCCCAGATGTAGTTCCTCGCGAGCCTCAGTGTCTCAATCTTGGACAATTTCTGAGTCTTGGAGTAGCAGGGCATCACCCTCCGTAGGTTGTCGAGAGCATCATTCAGGCCGTGCATCCGCGTGCGCTCCCGGGCGTTGGCCTTCACCCGCCGGGCCCTGAACCGCTCCAGCCTCGCCTTGGTCATTTTCTTCTTCTTTGGTCCTCTTCTCTTCGGCTTTTCCCCATCCTCCTCTTCTTCCTCTTCTTCCTCGATGCTGTCGTGCTCCTCATTCAAGCCAGACATCATTCCAAAAGGACCTTGCCTTCCGTCCTCCTCCTTCAGTTCATCTTTGGAGCTCAACGTTTCATCCATCCAGGCTTGGGTGCTCACAAGCTCCGCCATCTCTTTGGGCTTGGCATAAGTCTTGGTCATCTCTGATCTCTGCAACAAAGGGACAAGATGTTAATGAATTCCAGCAGAAACGCTCAACACGCTGAGGGCGTTGGGAACTGAGGTCAAAATGAGCTTCCGGAGACATCAACGGCTTTCTGTCCACCAATGGCACCTACAGAATCTATCGATCCGTCATCTATTTATCTATCCACAATAATTTCTGGTGAATTTTTTGCGGGGAGCCGCTGAAGCCTCTCCCTGGGGCCCAGTAGCTCTTTTCCAGGGCTCAGGGCTTCCAACAATTCAATCTCGGGGTTATTTCCAGTCATGAGTCCTTCCCCTCGGGGCTTCAACCCTGATCGTCACGTTGCAAGTTGAACAAGAGGGAGCCTGAAAGTAAAGGCCCTCTGCCGAGCTGCCTCTGGAGATTTTCCTGCCCGAGCTCTTCTAACCTGAGCACATTTGATTGAACCTTCGTTTCCCGCTGCCGTAACGAACGCAGCCACACGGCGCAAACCAGCCGGGGTTTCACGTTAATCAGCCCCCCCCCCCAAATCCTGTCAGCGTGCCTGACTCATTTAATAAAGCTTAGCTGAAAGCAGCTTTGCTGCAAGTGTGCTGCCCCAGCCCTGGCTCCGCTGCCCCGGCCGCCCCATGTGGAAAATCCCACTTTTAATATGAGTGATGGGGCTTGGGCTGGATTAGGGTGTTAATTGCTGCTCACAGCCATCGTATCCCCGGAGGACCATGTGGCCCCAATTAACTCTTCGGCAGAGTAAGAGGGGTCTGTTAGATGCTGGGAAATGCGGTGGGCGAAGGGGGTGAAGGACCATCCTGGGGATGAATGGATGGGTCTGGCTGAGCCAGGATGGAGCCGGCATCCTGGTGGGACCACGGGGCCGCACCCGCTTTGGGTGGGGAGGGCAGCCCAGGAATGGGCCCCCAAACCCCTCCAGGCTGCACTCTGAGCGTTTCCTCCGCTCCACCCGCGGGCATCTCCCTCAAACGCAGCATCCCCGCCCGCAGCCCCCGTCCCTCGCTGGCCCTGGGCGCCAGAACCCACCCCAGAAGGAAAACACCAGGTCTGGGGCTCTGTTCAAGAGGCGTCTTCCCACACTTCACGGTGCAATGTTCCCAGGGAAAAGTTTCAGAACGTTGTCTCTTTGGAAATCTGGTTTGAATTTTTAGGGATTTCCCCCTCTTTCTCCAGAATTTTTTTTTTTTTTTCTAAATTGAGGAAAGTAGACAAAGAGGGAATTGCCTGATGAACACTCGGGGAGTTTCCCAGTTTCCCAAGTAAGGATGCGGTGGGAACTCGCTGTGGAATGAGAAGCTTGTCCAGCCCCATTATTTCAAATATCTTTCCTTTTCAAACATCTCCACCCCCCAACCTCTGAAAGAACCACCAGGATCCCAACCTGCTGTAGCCAAAAACTTAATTTTCAAGTAGGGATGGCTCAGCTGGGGGCAGAGGGAGATGTTCTCCCTTTGTGTCACCAGGCACTGAGCTCCCATCCCAAACAAGTGGGTTCAATTCCTTCTCTTTTCCTGTAGGACCAGCAACTTGGTTTCCTTCCAAGGGACTCAGTTCCCGCAGAGGGGGACGGTTGGTTCAGGACAAAGACTGATGGACTCCAGCCCTGCACAACCCCTGGCACCAAGACCCTGACCCCAGACAGAACCACCCCAAGCAGAAGAAACCCAGAGGGGTGAGGAGGAGGAGGATGCAGGGAAGATTCTGGCGCAAGAACCAGAGCCAAAACAGGCAGCTGGGGCTGGGAATTCCTCACGGAGATGGGCAGGAGGGACAAGACACCCCCAAACAGACCAGGAAAATGAGGATTTATTTGAGATCTCTGCACCGCGTCCTGCCTGGGAACGCAGCAGGATCTGGCCCGGCTGGACGTGGACCTGGTGGGCTCTGGCTGCAGCGCGGGTTAAAAACCCTCCATCAGCTCCAGCACGGCCAAGGGGGTGGCTACGGGGTCACCGGGGTCAGCTGAGTCCTGGACCCGGAGCTGCCCAGAGCTCCCAGTCCCGCCCATGGTCCCAGTCCCAGTCCCACCTTCAGCCAACTGGGGCATTTTTCTCGGAGGGGGGAACCTGCTCCAGGGCAGCCCCGCAGCATCCCTGGGAAAGGGGGAGGAA